TGCTCTTGCTGTCGCCACAGAAACAACGATTACAAATTTCACCAGCTTGATGGAAGATTTGGTGAAGGCTTGCCCTGGCACAAGTTTTGAATCAAACAGGGTAAGCCAGGACCTTCTTGAGGCGTTTCTCGTTACTATGCCTTCGTCCAAAGAAGAGGACCAGATCAGCTGCCGAAATCGTGCAATTCTGCGGAACTTGCAGGTGTTCCGATACAAACAATCGACGATTACCTCCTCATCAATGAAATGAGGTACGAAATTGAGGGTGAGCCCGAGAAAAAATCGGGCTTGATAGGGAGGTGTTTACAGACCTGCGTAAGTTGGAATTCAAATACCACGAAAGGAGACACCTGCAACTGCTTACGGCAGTCGGAATAGCAGCTGAATTGCCGTCACTTCTGGCGTGACATGAAAGAAGAGGAGGAGGAAGCGATGGGTCAAAAAGACCGCGTAAATAACTTAACCATCACCAGCAAATATCTTAAGCCGGCGTTCCCGAAAGCATAGGTCGACGAGGCGTTCGATTAAGCCTTTAATATGTTTATTGTGTGTAACGAAGCCATATTTATCACTACTTCTGGAAAGTCGAAATCTTTCAGCGTTATGACTATATTAGTAGATTTAGACTTTTCGGCCACATCACAAATAGGGGCATCAGGTTTCTTATAAATAGCGATATGCGCATTTGCGGGAATATAGGAGCAAATCGGAACGAACACTTTAAAAGGCCTTAGGTTGAGATGGAACCAATTTGAAAATAATTGCATGCTTCAAATTGAGGGATGGGATTTTAGGACTTGCAGGTAGAGAGTTTGGAGTTGGCGAGCATATAGGCGGGGTAACCACGCTTGCACGTGCACCTTGTGCGACTTGTCCAGTATGGTGACGAGAAGACACCCTCGAACAACCAGCATAAATTGCATGCAAAGGCATCCACACACACATCATCGGTAAGAACAAGCAAAAAAGCACAGAAACCGAAAAACATACGAAAAATGAGCACGCAACAACAACGCCGGGCATTCAAAGGCACATAAGAGCCTGTGCTAAATGAAGTACCGGAGAAAGGCGAATTGATCGTGGTCGGCAAAATGACTGAGAGTATATGAGAGCATTAGAAAAACGGTAGCCAAAGTGTGCGGGTCGGCCGCAAGAAATCTTAACGCAAAAAAACTGCAAGTGACACAAAGCAAAAGAAAAAAAAAGAAACAAAATATAGTAGAGGTAAAAAAAAAACTTACAAAAATTAACACGCCGAAAAAATATTGCAAAAGTTCAAATTTATGGAAAAAAAAAAAAACAATTACAAAAGTGGCAAACAACTTTTTAACACAAAAGTGCCGAGTGGGAAAAAAAAACAGAAGACAGAAAAAAGGAAGAATCCAGAACAATTTGAATGAACTCTAAAGTAAGCGAAAATAAAAATTACAAAGAAAAGGAAAGATCAACCATTGCATAAAGCAACCGACGCCATAGACATTGAAAAAAAAGAGAGAAAAGGATCTAATAACCATTTCAACCGATGTACCTAAAACAACAAATCAGCGTGCTTCATTTTGCTTCTAAAGTTGCCATTGTAGTCAAATAAAAGATTACGAAGAAAAAAAAAGAACAATAGGAAACCAAAAAAAAACTTAACTACTTTTTTTAAGAAAAAAAAAAACAAAAAAAAAGAAGAAAACTTACTTCGAAAGAAAATGACACCTACCCTACGTTAACCAGTATACACGCGGGAGGATTACAGTTAGTTAGTCTTATAGCAACTACAGCAATAATCACCACAGCAGCAGCAATAACAATAGCAAACCAACAATCAAACCCTTCAAACCCGGAGGCAGATCTCGCCGGGGGAGAAAACCCATCGGACGAAGCAGAAATTCTCTTTTTTCTTTCAAACAACAAATAAAACAAACATTAATTATCCTTTTATTTCAGATGCCTAAATGAGTTTAAAAAAAAAAAAGGAATACGCCAGGGCGACAGCGACAACGGCAGCAGCTACATCATCAGCCGTTTCACCATCATTTCTGCCCAACAACAACGGCAAGTACAATTGCAGGCAGGTCCGGTGCACTTGAGTCACCCGACAACTGCCAACCAACCTTCAGCGCATTTCCACCACCACAGCAACAATAGACAACAACAACATCATCAAAAGCAAAACAGCAATAGGACTTCAATAACATACCGGTACACATTCATCTGCACACACATCGTAAGCAAATGCATTTTTCATAACAGCATTTTTCCAGTCCATCCAAGAATACCAGCTTTTAGGTAAGGGTATATGACATTGTCAAAATACATTCACATTACTAGTATTATTATTAATTGCCATGAGCTAGCTAATTGTGATAATTAATTTTGCGGATCCGTTCTCGTTTATTTCATTTACGACGACGACGCCCACGTTGGTTGTTTCATTTTCAAAAAAAAAAAAAAAAACATAAGCAGAGAAAATATTTCGCACTGCTTATATTTTAGAACTAGTTGTGAAACTCTTCTATACCTTGGTCTTAAAATCTTAAGTTGGTCGACGAACAAACTGCTATGATTTAGTTTTTTATTTTGAGACGTTGAATGTTTAGAATGTCCTAAGAAGAGATAAAAGCGTTTGCATCCAATGTGGTTCAATGATGAATAGTAGGCTAAACGAAAAATAGCATCAATTAAAAAGAAAATTTTAATTTAAAAAAGGAAAAGCAAAAACCGTAAACGTGCGTGAAACTATGCAGTGAAAATTCTCGAAGATATAAGTTAAAACAAAACCTTACGGAAGATCACTGGAAAACATCTCTCTTTCAAAAAGGAAAAAAAAAAACAAATAACAAATATAGCGAAGTCCCCTTTCCTTTTAATGGAAATGTAAATAATGCAAACCCAAAGAAATAATTCTCTTTAAAACTTTAAAATAGAACGTCTCATAAACTTGTGGAAAGATGTTTCGTTTACAAATACTAAGAAATATAACGGGCAAATGCCCTCATTTTCCCGTCAGAAAGCGTTTAAAAACCGAAGGTCTCCTTCAATCGATACCGCCAGTAACAGTAATGATAATAGTAAGGGATTGATAAGGCCCTTTCAGGGAGGATAGATATAGACAGGAATTATCCTTATCGTCAACCCCAAATATATCGCAAATTAATTCTAACATAGGTCCAATTTTTCATGCCCTGCATTGATTTTTATTCAGGCACACGTGTTCCCGTTGGTGCGCTCGTCGATCTAATTGCAGGCATGTAGTGTATGCTCCGCCCGCGAATACACTACCTGATGATTGGTGAACATTGCATCGAACTCTCGACTTCTTTTAGTACCTCAATGTCTGGCACCACACTGTCAGCTTCTGGTTCAACTTCCTAGTCTTCATATCTTCCTAGGCGCCGTTGCAACTCCTCATTTCGAGCTTGAAGCCGCTAGCTCCTGGCTAAGCCTTGCCTGCGCCGAAGTCGACGGGCCGCTGGTGTAAATGTCGTCAACTAAATTTACGGGGCTTTCTATATCTATCCTACCTACTACTCATGACACCCTAGTTAGCTCGTCTATCATTTCTGTTGTCTCCTGAACATCCGTCGCTTCTTCTCCCCCTACTACCTTATCTCCCCCTTGTGCCACCTGTTTTCCTCCCACGTGAATCCCAAAAAACCTATCTAGTTCTCGCTGCCAGCCTTCAGCTGTAAACGCCAATCTCAATTCTTGTGCTTATGAAATATAGTCTGCCTGACCGCCTCGTCTTCTATCCACCCTTCTTAAACTAAACCCAACTGCATCAGTTTTTCTTAGAACGCATTGCGCGTTATAAATTTCCAATTTCCTCAGTCATTCGGTCGGCTAATTTTCCCTACTCTGTCCGAAATTTTCTCCATGGTATTATACTTAATATATGTGTATAAATAATATTATAATAGTAATAAATGATAATATAAAATAGATATAATTTAACAAGATAATAAAATACGATAATATCAAATACGTATAAAATAATAATAAGGCACGAACCTGAAAATAAATGGAAAACAAAATAGACCAATTCTAAATAAATAATAAATGTTAAATAAATAAATAATTGTCAAATTAAATATAAATGAAACAACGACGTTTTGTTTATTTCAATTTAATAACGTATAAAATTTACATTTTTTATATTTGAAGTTAGTAATAATTGAAAATTGTAAAAAAAAATTAAATGTACCATGCCACTCGTCTGTCCTACATTTTCTCATCCCCCAGTATCCCCCAGTCCTATCAGTCCTTCAGGGCTGGCGATTAAGCTAACCGTCTCATCCCCTATCCGTAAAAGTCTTCAGTAATATTCGTTATTCAGGGATGGCGATTAAGCTAACCGTCACATCCCCTATCCGTAAAAGTCAACAGTACTATTCGCTACTCAGGGATGGCGATTAGGCTAACCGTCACATCCCCTATCCGTAAAAGTCAGCAGTACTATTCGTTATTCAGGGAAGGCGATTAAGGTAACCGTCACATCCCCTATCCGTAACATTTTGTGTGTGTATCTTACATGTTCATATTTTTGAGTACATTCTTGGAATACATTTTTGTGTATGATGGCTATATGGTTATGTTTTTGAGTACATTCTTGGAATACATTTTGTGTATGTAGCTTATATGTTCATTTGAGCGGGAGGAGGCTGATCATGTTCAGTAGACAGACGTGTAAACGGACAAATCGGACTGACTAGTGGACGTCTGCGGATAAACGTTTAGGCGGACGGACTGGTTATTAGCAAGGGAGCAAAGCGCTTCCTTACATCTTTTATCTATTTATCTTAAGCTATTGTTCCAAAGTGATAGTGAGGATGACAGTTTTTGCCCCAGACGTCCTGATAAACGTGCTTTAGCATAATGATAAATAGTTGAAGAAATATAAATTTGTTATAAATTTGGCAATATTGCCGTGTTATTTGCAGGCATTGTATTTTATGCAAATACTATGAAGAAATGCTTGCTTGATTTAATTTATACAAATCCAAAGAATCAGCATGCCAGAAGAATCGTTTTACGGTAAGTTTCGTTGCAGAATGTGTGCAATATTAGATGATTTAGACAAATAGAAAAACAAGAATCAAATGACGTTATTATACCTGCAATAAAATGGCGGCTTTCAATGTTTGTGAACTCTCTATTAAACTATTTTATTTTACGTTGCCGCAAGTAAGGCAATAAAGAATTTTATCTAATCATCCATTTTTTATACTTTTATTCAGAAGTTACATTGGCCGCCGAAAATAGTGCTGCGTCGTGGGATGTTCCTTTAAATAGCGAGGATTACCCTAGAGGTCAAAAACTGGTAATTAGACAAGTTTTACTGGGTGCCAAAGCTAAGGAATATGAATTCATTGTTGTCGAGGTATGCCGAAATATCGACGGCAAGCAAGTACTTTGTGATCCAAGTCTTCTCATGCTCTTTTAAAATAGTAGGCAATCAAGCAGGCGGAATATTTCTAAATGATCTAAAGGTACAATTTCTGATTGATGACGTATCTCATGATGACCGCTCATTTAATACTATCAGATGACTGCGAATCGAGATAAATGCTTATTTTTTTTACATTTATATATACAAGATTATATATTATATTTCAAGAACTTGTACGAATTTATGGTAAGAATTAAGAGAAAATTTTTCAAAATAGGGCAAAATCGAATGCCACGCCTGTAAAAATTCTATAAAACTATTCAGGAGACCTACAAGGGGAGATAAATGCTTATTTTTTATACATTTATATATACAAGATTATATATTATATTTCAAGCACTTCAAGCACAAAAAAAAAAAACTTCATCTTGTTGTAGTTGTTTTGATGATGCGTTGCGTTTCAGACTAGAAAAGCGTCACTGACCATTCCTACCTTAATTTTTTTTTTTTTTAGGATTCTAATTTCTCAGGAGTACCGGCATCTGTTCAGGAACTTATTGATAAAGGTTATATACGCTGGCGAAATATCACTGAATTTAGAGATAAATCAAGATCGGTCGTACAGTTTTACCTTGCCTATTGCGACCTAGACCTTGAACACAAATTTATATGGGCAGACATTGGACGGACGGGCTGGCAGATAGATGAACAAAAGTACAAACGGACAGATGGAGAGGCGAAGAGAAAGGCTCATTTGTAATTTTTCCGTCCATCACCATAGAATGATGCGTTTGCAAGAAAGAAACTTGAGAGTGTATATATTCCTGATCAGCATCTAATTATAAATCGATTTATGTACGTCCGGCTGGCTGTCTGCCCATCTATGTGATATTTGTTTGTCTCTTGGCCACAAAAATGAAGCTGGCAGAAGCATTGGGAATTATTGGGCAGAGGCTGGTTTTGAAAATGGCGCATATCGATCGAAGGACACGCTTACAATGTGATGTTAAAAATTGCGTTCCTTGTTCATTATTCATAAACTACAGCAGATAAATCTACAAAAATTTGAAAATCGAATAATATTTCATGAGTATATTTTTTTTTTTGTTTTTATTTATTAATAACTGCATTCTTATATGGAATGAATATAAATAAACACTAAAAAAGCTATAATTATATAAGTATTTGAAGAGGAAAAAGATACAAGAAACCAAGGATAAGTAAAATACATCGAAATGTTATTAATTAAATAAAATGCAAAAAATAGCAAAACTATTTTAAACTTTATTTGAGGTTATTTAAATCCAATAAGAGAAATTCGTAAAGAAAGTGATCCAAATAAGAAATAAGAAATTGAAAATAAGAAATTGTAAATCGAAAGTGATTCTATATTGAAAGAAATTCTATATTGAAAAAAATTCTATATTGAAAGAAATTCTATATTGAAAGAAATTCTAAATTGACTTGGACAAGAAATAAAACTCACTAGAAACCTTCTGTTGTTACTGCGGTAAGGTCAAGTTCGATTTATTTAACTAATTATATATATATATTCAATAATACTTTAGAATACATACGGACGATATAAAGGCACAAATAATTTTTGTTTATTGATTTGATTTTATTTTGTTACTTAAAAATTATGCCTAACTAGATGTGACATGCACGTTGTTTTCGATTTTAAAAGAAATTTTAAAAGTTCTACGATTTTCCCATGAACTCTACTTAGCACCCAAATTCCTATTTGGCTTTCCACCATCACGTTCCCATTCGCGATTAAATTCGTGCTCCACGTTTGCGTGTAAGACCAGTTTCTTCTAGACTTAATTCGCACATTTGCATGTCATCGATACCTACAAATTGGTTATTTGTTAATAAAAAAAAATTTTCAAACAGTTTAAATTTTCCATTTATATTAGTTAGTTGTAGTGACATTAGTTTGCAAGGTAGAGAAATATTAATCAGAAAATGGAATTATTCACGTCTGTCTTTAAATTTACGACTAGAAAAACAAATTAAATCACAATTGCTTCGTTATTTTTCCATTTTTCAAGTGTACAAAAAAATTATCTCATCCGATTCAAATTTTCCACATCTATTATTTCCTACTGGTTTTTGCTGAAAGCTGTTGAAAATTTTCTATTTTTCCATACAAGATCTCTTTTCAAGTGAAGACGATAGCATGAGATTGCGATCAGTAGGCACTACATGGACAGACCTCAGACCGACAAATATGCTGAAACCAATGCAAATAATTATTCTGCATTTTTCGGCATAAGATTGGTCTACCTTAAGGACTTAAGTTCTTCTGTGTGTTACATATATTCGCACAAAATTAATACAATCCACATAGCAAATGATGTCAGGTATAAAGACATAAAGGTAAAGAGAGCCGTAAAGTTATCTATGAAATTCCGATATTGATCTAAATTTTAAATTTTGCTTGCATGGTGTTGATCAAGAACATGCTAGAGTTCAACTATTTATGTTGTATATCAATATTCACTTTTATAGGTTTGCTTTAACGAGTTTTGCGAAAAAATTGAAAAAAAGCGTTTTTGGTCGTAAAATTTGTATTCAAGATCTAAAAAAAAAATATTTCATTTTTGGTAGAATATTTCATTTTTGGAGGAAGAAACAGAATTAAACCTGTAAGTACTTTTAATGAAGTTGTTTCCAATTTTGAACCAAAAGAGAACGGATTAAATTCAGCTGCTCCATTCTGTAAGTAGTATAGACGGTTTATCAGCATGTAATTCCATTTGTCTTGCTATCCATTGGCAATCGAAATGAGCGTACCATAAACCACGTTTAGCTACGAAAAAGAAGAAAAGAAGAAGTTGTTACGTCAACTTTTTTTTTGAGATAACATTAACTTTCTGTTTTCGTGAGCATTAGCGCGCACAAAAGGTATACGGAAATAACGATGCTATGCATGAAAGAATTTCTTTTCTTCGTTCATTTCATAACTCCACATATAGATAGATGTAAGGAGCAAAGCAGCACACAGTTCAGTTCAATTTATTTCAGTGTTTTAACGTTTTTGGGATGTGTGGTTAACTCTTTTCGCACAGAAGAAGCAATCATCTTATGTTATCTCTTGACATGTTGTAGCGCATTCGCCTTCAATGTCAAACTTGAGTGTGCGAATTGATTTCTGGAAGTGTTTTTTATACCCTTCACCACTTGCGGTACCGGGTATATTAAACTTAGATGTTGCTCATGTCTTTGTTCTGTTTCTCGTTATATTAACCTAGATACAACTTTTAAAAGACGATTTCTCCTCGCTCTCAGTTCCATCCGTTGATACTGGGCCAATTATAAATATTGTGACAATACATCCCCTAGTGTAGAAGAGCTGCAGTCATACATTGCCATTGTAGAATAGGTCTGCTGTAAAGAAAATGGATAGCAGAAGTAGAATATTTGTCTAAATTTTATAATTTATATTGAATAGTAACGTAATGAAATTTGTACATATAAATGATCTCAATCAAAGTTCGTGTAAAGAACTTTTTGCTTGAATCTGTTCTGCACAGCCCAATGAATCATCTATTGCTGAAGAAATATTATTATAAAAATAAAAAAGAACGTTATAGTTGTGGTCTGATATTCATCATGAAACTTTGAAAATTAGACCGTTTTGTTATGTATACTTCAGTTTCGTTACATGACTTTTTATTCTTTGTCACTAGCATTAGACTTCTCTTTAATTTTACCAGTAACGGCCTCTGTTCCAGACGGCTGGGAACGCATTGTATATTGCGCAAATTAAAAGGTTGCATCTTTTATCCTGGGCCAAAGAAAGTTTCGACTGTTGATAGCATATGTTGGCCGCGACAAGCACCAAGAATAAGTTTTATGGAACCAAGTTTTATCAAAATGACTCAAATGTCGCTGCCTGTAGGTTGAACATGAGAGAACGACAACAAACAGACAGACAAGCTTAGATCGGTATAATAGAAGATGGGTCTATATAAAGTCGTTTTAGTTGTTGATTACATCCGTACAATCTTAATATATCCTTGTATCGCAAGTGGTATCGAGTATAGTGACTTTAAATGGTGAATGAAATCCATAAATCATAATGAAAGTTAGTCAATGGATGCAGCTAAGTCTTTCTGTTATGACATGTAATACCATGATTAAAAGTTTCACATTAACTTATGCTTAAACGATGCGAATTTATAAATTAATTTATGAAACAAATTTGTGCCGCTTGGCTGCTACAAATATCCCGTAATACACATTTTCTATTCACCTCATAGCCAAGTATATTTAAAAAAAAAAATGTAATCAAATCCAAACGAATAATTAGTTTTCTGCTTGTGCAAAAACGGGAAAAATCGGCCATGCTCTGAATATATCGGAAAAACATTACATGTTTCCAAACCACTATTTCGCAAAAATATGTCATATGAGTAGGCGGTGATAGAGGTAAAGCTGCCGGCTTTTCCATTATCTGTTGTTCAACCAATTTTTGTATTTTAAGTGCACGTACCGGTACTACAAAAATTTCCTCAAATTTCGATTTTGTATATTCAAATATTCTCAATTTCAATTTGGGACCTCAAAGATTATATTGCAAAAATAGTTATTTTTTACTACTTTTTCAACGTTTTTTCCCAAAAACATTTGACAAGCAGCAAAAAAATAAAACCAGATACATAATTAGAATCACAAGAAAAACTTTGTTGCGTCTTTCGCATTGGATTGCGGATGTTTTGCAAATTACATCCAAATTGGCCATTAGTGGAAGTCGCGTTCCTAGTGGCCTTGTATGCGGAGACACAAAGTTTATTTTTGCATCTAAATGGACAGCAAGTTCAATTAGTTTTGAAGAATTTACCAACGCAGCTACAAGACCAACAACAAGAATTGAACTTATTAAAAGAGACTGTGGAAAAGTCTTTCAACGATATCAAAGAAACAATAACGAAACATTTATTTACCATAGAATATGTTTTAGTAGATACTTTAATAAACGAGTGCGGCGCGGAGAATGAGTGAGTATGTCTGCTTAACACACTGAAGTTTTAATTAAAATATCTTTTGGCATTTGTTTAGCTACACGGACGTTGTTAAAGATGTTTTAACCTCGGTGCAAAAAACCGAAGAATCGTTAAGAAG